GAGCCAACCTGCAGTGCATAGCACTCTGTGGGAAACAAAATTGCATCTGTTGGACACCTTTGTTGTTTTCTTGTTCTTTCCCTCTCTACTTGCCTTACCAGTCTCAAAAATGCCAATGCTCCTCTGTGCTCCTCTGCGGATCCCCCCAAACACAATTCCTAAGTCAAATCCAGTTCTGCTACTAGCCAAATCCAGACACGAGTCTAAGGTAACAGCCACCTAGCCTCTCTGAAGACTAACTCAGCAGATGTTGATGGTTCACTGTAAATATCTCACACAGAGACAGCCAGATGAAGCATCCAGGCCAGCAATTTATAGATGCAATAGATGTGAGGAACAGGCCGTTTATCATAATTCAGCTTGGCTCCCATTTATTCTCCAGGAGTCTTTCCAAATGCTATAAATTATAGAAAAACAATACTATACATATCGAACTTAATATTCTATTTCCCCAAACATGACACTGAGAGAATACTATGAGCCTTTCATTTGTGGAGTGAGGAAAGCAGTTTTTGTAAGGGGAACACTTTGCCATCATGCAAAGGGGGTAAGTCAGGACAGCAGCCCTTTGTCTTTTCCTACCCCATTTTATCTAGGTATCTACATTATAAGTCAGGAGAGAAACAGTTGGAGAAGGTTATAGATTCTTGTCAAACAAAACAGATGTCCTGACACATAAATTTTCACTCTTACTGAAAGGTTCATAATTAAAAAATGAATCCAAAGGATTTACTGTAAATTACATGCAGGGAGAAAGAAGTTAATAGCATATCTTTTTTACGCCCTGTATTAACTACATAAAGAGAAGCTAATTGTTGCCCAGTTTTGCCCGACCTTCTGTTTTGTAGGTGGTGAAAGGAGTTTGTCAAGAATTTCATAAGAGACTAACAAGCACTTCATGGTAATCCTTTCCCTGGTCCTATTCAATTTTATAGGCAGATGTCACCTCCAAGTGACAGCAGCTTCTCTCCAAGTATCAAGCGGATTAATTCCTCAACAATAGACTTCAAGGCAGGAAACATATCCAAAGTAATATTTCTTTACAAACCCCTCTGCCCTAAGACACCCTCCCTCCACAAAATTTCATTTCATGCATACACACTTCAGTGAAGATCTTTTTGCCTTTGTCAAACACACTTCATCTGTGATTCCATTAATATTATGATTAATAATTGATTCAGAAAATAGTGCATCCTAGGAGTGTGAACCAAAAATGAAGAAATGGAAGCTAGTTTGAAGCAAACCATCTCTAAATTATTTTAATCTCTTGGACTTCTCTGATTTTTTTTTTAATGATCTAATTCTTGTCTTATTCAACACTTATCATCAAGGCCTATTTAACCATCATGAGCACCCGGGGTGAGTGCGAGGACTTCAGGTTTAAAAGAAACCAGCAAAAGAAAGAAGAGCCTCTGCTCCTTTGGCCAGAAGAACAGATAATCTGAGCAAACTGTGAAATAGGAAAAATTGCACCTATTGCACCTCCCCACCTCTGTCTTGGTGTCCCTTTCTTTACATCGGTTCTTTACCCTAGGGCACCACTGCTTTCATTCTGCCCGGGATTTCTCTCACCATCTGCTCCAATGTTGTATGTCCCCAAATTAGTCATGTTACTTTCTCCTCCTTTCTCCCTAGCCCTCGAAAAAAACTCAAATTCTGTTAGAGCGGCTGACCATGGCCCAGTGTGAGAAGGATCATAATAAGACTAATGACTTAAACGAATCAGGAAATGATTCAAGAGCCTCCCGTGGAAAAGGAGTTTAAGAAGATTCCAATTTTCCTAAAGATTTTTTAATGTGTGAGCCTTTCAGGACGACAAAGGAAGAGAAATGGGAAAGTTTGGGAACAGGATAGCAGGTAGCCTAGAGCGAATGTAATACAGGCAGCATGCATCTGTCCACAAGTCTCATTTCAATGCAGGCGATAGATGCGCCTAGTGGAAGCTGGAACTCCTACCTGCTGGATTTACCTGCTGATCTCACAAATCCTTCCACTGGAAAGCCTGAAGTGAGGAAGTGAGAGGCCCTCAGAGCTGGCAGACAACATGAAATCTGCTTGCCCATTCCTGCTCTGGGGACTTCACACCGCCCACAGTGGAAGAATGAGGCTTTACACACATGTAACCCCCTGCTAGGAACACATCTCTAGGCAGATGGGTCCACTTCTCCAGGCCCAGTGCCTCCTTACTCCCCCTGCCCCTGGGATATGCCCTGCTTCCCTCTCTTCGTTGTGTCTGCCATCACTTTTTCTTTTTTTTTTTTTTTTTCCCTCTGGTGGGTTTCTCTTCTCCCAGGCAAACTGCAAGTGGGAATGGAATCTTTGGCCTCCTCCCCAACTCTTCCCACTTTCCTTAATGGTCCTTAAATTATTTTCTTTAGTACAAGGAAACAACCTATATCCATTAAATAAATCCACATTTTACAGACTGTAAAAGTCCAATGAAAGTATCTCAGTAAGTATTTATGGAATTGTATTCCTGATGCATCTATGTAAATGTCCAAAACAAGAAGCAGGGTTTGTAATCAAGTCTTTTGATCTTCCATTTGTATTCCTTAACTGCTGAGTGTGGTGAGGAACCGTCCCTTTGCTGTCCCCACTCTGACCTCAGGTTTTGTAAGAGGTTCTGGACATCTCTATGAAGAAGTTTGCAGCCTAGAGCAGGGGTCACCAAAGTACAGCCTGCAGCCTGCCTTCAAAATGAATTTTTATTGGAATACACACAGTTTTTATCTCTGGTAAACACCAGAGAATTAAAAAAAGTTTCCAATTATCAGACCAATTAAGTGATGTCATTTTCAAGAGGGCCATGACCATGTCAGGTCCATTCCAGAACGATGTGTTTTTTCTACTTTGTATGGTCTGTCTTTCTTTTCTCTAAGAAGGTCAGATGATGTCAATCTGATGAAGGGAAATCTTTTGGGATTTTCCAGAATGTTTAAGCAATGATAGCATCACTGGAAAAGGTCCACAGTACCCAAGGGGGCTTATGCATTTTAAAGTAAAATTTCTTGTATTTTTGCTGTTAAAAATGTTAAAACAGAATGCTATGGTTCCTCCTAGAAATTCCTAGGATCCTCATACCCCTTTTGTAAAAACAAAACTTTTAAGTAAACTCTCAGAACATAACAAACATTTCTCTTAAACGTAGAGATGCTCTACAAAACACAAATGGGGAGAAATGGATAAACTGGTAGCCCATTATCTGACTCAAAAAGATGCTCGTGGCTGTGCCAAATCATATTTTTCTTAGTAAGTCACACTGAACAAAAAAAGAAGATAAATCACCATGAAAATGCAAGTGAGCTGGTAATAATAGCCTAGTTATAGCTGCCATGAAATAATCATTAAGTTATATGCAGCATAAATCTCACAGAATTTTGTAAATTATGGTGGTTTTTAGAGGCCAAATAGAGATAAACCGTACAAACTATGGCTGCTTTTCTCTGTGCTCCTTGGCATGGCTTTTTAAAATGCTTAAGCTTATGCTCACAGTACCATATGGTTCTCAAAGCATCTGAGAAGGCATAAAGGTTCACAACTCTGTTAAGACCCCTCTTCCACATTTTGAAGGTGATCATTCCTCACCAGTCCTTCCCTGTACTCCTACGCGGAGTCTTGTCTGGCTCTGGCTCACACTCAGGCCAGACAAGTTTCCAGCTCAAGCCTTAGACTTCAAGCTGCTCCTGTTTCCAAGGCATGTTGGAAGGGCAGGTGTTGGAGATGGGCAGTGCTTGCAGGGCTGAACTGGCTGCTGGTGCTTCCAGCCAGCCACCTCCACTCCAGAGACGGGCAATAAAATCCCACTCTGTGCCTTCCTCAGTAGACCCGCACATTAGCAAAACGCAGATTCAAAGATTCCCAGTAAATGTTCCTTTCCCTCCTTTTTGGAGGTTGGTGGTAATCCCCAGTTGATCTTTCCTCTTAACTGCTTTTTCCCCCCTGCTATTTAAACTGAATTCTTATTGCTCCAAATTAAATCCATTCTTTCTGGCCTTGTCATTGCTAACTAATGAGAACAATTCCTCTCTTTGCTCCTGGTAGCTGCACTTTGGGTACTTATGGATGAGAATCATATCCTTCTTTAGCCTACTTTCTTAACTGCAGACTGCACAGGTGATAAAATGGGTTAATTGTTGCTATAAAAATATTTTCTATCCTCATAACGAAGTAATTTTTTCCTCCAAATCATTTTAATTTCTTAGAATTGCACTGTGTTCTTAACGATGTGCAGTGACTGAGGCTGCGGTCCTATTGGGCCTATATATACAAGCAAAATGTTGGATATACAGTATGCATGAATATAACAATTCTTGGTTATTGCGCTGTTTCATTTTGCCCCTTCCACTCTGCCCTCAGTTTTATCACTCTTTGCTCTTTGTATCTCCCCAAGGAAGTTTTCAGCCCAGGGCAGCGGTCACCAAAGTATATAGCCTGTAGCCCGCTATTACAAAGTAAATTTTTATTGGAATGTGGTCACCTGCATTTAAAAAAAAAAAAAGCATGTTATTTATGACTGCTTTCACATTACTGTGGCACTTCCCAGGAGCTCTGACAGAGACCCTATCTCCTGCAAAGCCCAAAATACTTGCTATCTAGCCTTTTACAGAAAAATTTTGCTGACCCTCCAGCAAACATTGGGGCAGGCTTTGCTAGTTGCACCGGGTTAAGGCAAAGTACCAGGTAAATCTCTTATGCACTCCGAAGCAGTCTGCTAAATGTTTCATGACAGACCAAACCACACAGCTGGCAAGCGAGTCTAGACTGAAGGAGTTTTTCATTTTTTATCCCTGAAGTACCCTACGAGCATCAAGGTTCACGTCTAAAGGGAAGAATGAGGCTTGACACGTGGACTAATGCTTGGATGTGGCTCCAACAGATGTAGGCAATTTTTATAAATGTGTCTCTCTTCCAAGTCTATCTAGGATGTTCTGCTGCATTCTGGTGCACCAACTCACACCACCGGGAGGACAAGGAAATCCAGGCCAAGGCCCAGTACTCACTATGTGAAGCTGGAGGAAGTCACCGAGACCCGGAGCGCTGTCGATGCGCACCAAGATGCCATCCTTCACAGTGGTGCTGAAGCCCACGGCAAGGCGGTCAGAGCGGGTGCTGGGCCTATCATTGGCCGGCCAGGTGTAAAGGATGAGGCCTCCGCTTTTCCCAAAGATGTAGGTAGCGCCAGCTGCGAAAGCAAGGAGAGACGGAGCCATCAGTGCACTGTACTGTGCATTGCCAGCTCTAGGCACACTGTTGAGACCCTGCACAGACAGCTGTGGAGAGGAAATGGGCCCCCGCATGTCCCTGTTTGGTTACGGAGAGGGATGGAATCCAAAGTCTGGGAAGGCGGCTGTCACCCTAAATTAAAGATGTAGGCAAAATGAATTAATAACAAAGCAGATGTTAGCGAGAAGCATCCCTAACATCTTCAGTTCCTGCTGTATCTCGGCAGAAGGCAAATAACACGCTGTGTCTGAGAGCTTTGGTATCTTGGGACGAACAACCTTCCCATTCTCCTGAACAGCAGAATTAATTTTCCGTCTCGGCTAGGACAAGCATGGGAGAGGAAACTAGTTCCCCTTCTTTCAGCTACTGGAACATGCTGGTCAGTGGAGCCAGGGGCGGTCCCAGAAATGTTTCACAAGACTGAAGGGAGTGTGCAAGCCTAAAGCCGCTATCCCTTTCACACCTGGATCGTCTACCACCCTCACAGAAAAGAGCTGTAGTCTGAGGAAACCAAGTTCTGTGACTAAAAGCATTTGCCTATTTCACTATTATGTGGTTATAAAAAACGTGATAAAAATTAATTCCAGAGGCGTTTTACAAATTAACTTAATTTTTCCCCTGGTGGTGGTGTTTATCTGGTATTATATAACAGCTTCTGTCTCTTTCACAAACTAAATTTCAAAAAAGAAATATAGAAGACATGGAAAAAAAAATCTCAGGGTGATGAATTTGGAACATAAGTGGTATTGTCACTTACGAACGGTGGTTTTGTCAGTGTTCTTAGTACTTACTGTGCTGTCACTCTTATTATTTACAAAGTCAGGGATTAGAAAGAATATATTAATTTAAAAGTACATAGAGGGGTGCTGGGATGGCTCGGTTGGTTGAGTGTCTGACTCTATTTCAGCTCAGGTCATGATCCCAGGGCCCCACATCATGCATCAGGCTCTGCGCTGAGCGTGGTGCCTGCTTAACATTCTCTGTTTCTCTCCCTCTGCCCCTGCCCCACTTGTGCGCACACTCTCTCAAAACAAACAAACAAACAAAAAATGCAAAGAAAACAAAATACAAAACTAAAAAAAACAAAAAACAAAACAACATAGAAAACAGGAAGAGAAATAAAATATTAGCATCTTATAAATTTTTAAAGTCTATTTCTAAAAACAAGTTTTTAAATACGAATTTGGGGAAAAGCATGTAGATTTGGTAGCCAGAACGGACTACATCATTGTAGCTTCTATGGCTATATGTACTTTACCCATAGTGAGTACTTCCATATGTTACTCATCTCAAAGTTCAAAGAACATTTGGCAGCAGATTTTCTTGTGTGTTCCCACTGAACATGGTTCAATCTCCGAAACTATTTAAAAAATGTTTTTAACGTTTATTCATTTTTGAAAGACAGAGAGAGACAGAGTGTGAGTGGCGGAGGGGTAGAGAATGGGAGACACAGAATCCGAGCCAGGCTCCAGGATCTGAGCTGTCAGCAAAGAGCCTGACATGGGACTCAAACTCATGGACTGTGAGATCATGACCTAAGCCAAAGTTGGACGCTCAACTGACTCAGCCACCCAGGTGCCCCTGAAACTATTTTAAAGCAGCATTAGGAAAGCATGCAGATTTCTTCAGCTTTACTAAAAGTCTCAAGCACTGGTCCACATTTAGTTTACAGGGAATACTGGATTGAATTATGTTCTCTGAAGAAAAAAAATGAGTTATGCAGCTTATTTATAAATAATAAAGTCAACTGCTATGAGGCTAGAATTAAGAGTATATGTCACATCTCATGCTTATTTTAAGCACTAAGCCATATTATATTCTGAGGCATATAGAATCTAATTTGTCATTTTTGAAAGGTCACTATTCTAGTGACCAGCATGCTCAGTTTGTGTATTACATGTAGCATGACATTATCTTCCTTTTATGAATTTCCCAATCCTTAGGGGATGGTGTCTGAAAAGACCTCCACAGTCAATCTGGAGAATTTGGGATTGTGGTATGTAAAGTTTACAATTAATTCTGTATGCAAAACTGTTTGCTCTTCACTATCCACAGGTACCCTCAACGCTTCTTAAAATTAGAAATGTGGATATAATAATTTACCCTTGATATCTATCCATCTGTGAAGAATTCAAATAATTCCCTTTTCTGTAGATGCTTACAAATGTCATCGCCACTCTCTCTATTCTTTATTTGGAAAAGTGAAGGTTACTCAGTGATCAATGTATAGAATCACCAAGAATGCAAATCAGCCTGTGACATTTTGTGGCAACTTATAAAATCTTACCCTATTCTATCCTAAATACGTAGTGGATTCTGCCTCAGAGATAAATCTATACTCCCATACTCTATCAGAAAATAATTTTACCAGTACAAAAAGAACAAGTCCAAAGTTGATAATAGCAACACATATGCCTGGTGTTTTGAGAAAAACTTTTCAAATTCATTAGCCAAATCTTTGCAATAATTCTCTGGGATCTCTCATTTCTTAACAATGTTTAGAAACAAGAGACCCAAGCATCTGACTTAAAAAAGTGGTACCTCTTTAGGTCTCCAGCTTCATCCTCCTCCTCCAAAAGCCTGTCTTCACTAAATACCAATCCTAGCTTAATAAAACTATCCAATAAATTATATCAGTGATGCAAAATTGACTGTTCTTTATCCTTTTCACATAAGACTAAAGTAGAATGAAAACAAAGTCATATCCTCCCAAACCTGGCGTATTTTCAGAAGTTAGTTGGCCTTCTAACCATATAAATATGTTTACAAACTTTCTGCTTATACTTTTTTATCCATTGACTGTTCAGTAATTCTTAATGTAAAGAGAAAGTGCATTTTAAATGATAAATATATGACTTCTATATAGTGGTTTGGAGGCCACCATGGCTTTAATTTTTAAACAAAGAACGAAACCTCATTATGACAATATCAGGGTAGGTACAAAATCTGTCTTAAAAATTATTTTTACTGCTTTTATTGTTCTGAATTTGGAATGTCACTATGATAGATAATTCTAACTTTGTAGGTGAAAAAGGCAAAAAAGTACAAAGTCTTTAGCATATGGCTTATTCTGCTATATGGAAATAAATCTTAAAATATGTATTCTTGGTACTAAATTTCTTACTAAGGGTAAATAAAGACCCTGAATGCTCCCATAGTTTAATGTTGGCTTTAAAGAAAGTGAATTAATACTTACAACTTTCTACTCTGAAAACCTGTTATTTTTTCCCCTTCTTTAGTTAGCTTTGCTATCTTGCATGGTTTTTAAAGATAAATATTCACTTTCTGTTAATTTTAATATAAAATGCCTAGAGTCCTAGGGGGAACATGGTCTTATTTTGCTTTACATTTTCAAATTAAAAAGTTAATTTTGTTATTTTAAAATGTGGATTACAAATCAACATTTTGGGAACATCCTAAGAACTATGAGAACCCTCCTTAATCCATTAAAGATTTTCATTTCCAAGCCATGCAATACGACATCACATGCTTTCTCCCCTGAGCCTAGCAGCCCTGTTGGTTTCACACTGTGCAAAGTATGCTGGTGCTAAGATCATCCTCCATTTATTAACAATTGAAACCATGCAAATTTCCTGCTTGCTAGCAAAGAGTGATCAATTCAACTGAAGAAAAACTGCTACGGTGGCATTCTGGCTATTTCACATTGCAGGACTTGCAAGTTTGTAAGCAGCTGAGGTTGCTGAGTCCCACCAATAGAATATTTCAGGAATGAAATTTCCATACGGTCACCATTAACAAAGATTAAGTGGATACACGCTATTTTTAAACAGTCAACCAGCCTGACATGTTACTTAACACACAACTTCTTTCATCTCAAAGATCCCAAAAAGTAGGTTTGGCTTATTGTTTTCCTAACTGGCAAGCTATTTACTGGGATGGGGCTGATGGTGGTTTTGGAAGAGCCAGATATGTGAAGGTATAAATATGTGTGTTTGGGTGTGTATTCTGTGTGTGGGATTGGTGGGGGGAAGAAAAGGGTAAAACAGTCTCCACTGAGATCATGAAGGAATCCTGGGGAGCAGCTTTATATACTCATACAATAATCTGATCAAGTAGATGATCTATGAGTTCTCAAGAAGAATACAGGGTAAAGTTTTTTCTAGGTCATACATTTCTCCAAGAAATAGTTCTTAAATCTTGGTGCATATTACTGCTTATTAATAGAATTGAATTTAATTATTGATGACAACTTAACTTTTCTTTATTTAGACTATTTGGATAATTATTACAATTGTTGCTTTGACTTCTTAACCTCATGGTCCTGCCATTATGACATAACTTTTATTTCTAGTCCCATATCCAAATAGCATATTACTTTTTAGTAGGAGTACTAACAGAAATTGAATCATGGACCTCTTAGGATTTATATTCAATATAAAAATAATATATACATACATATGTGCATGCTTATGCATATGTGTATGTGTGTGTAAGAAAGTTTAGTCAGAAATAGAATACTTGGAATTAATTTATTACGTTCTCCATCAAATAATCACAGATATAAGGCTTTAGAAATGCATCTAAATATAATGTTGGTTGTATATTTATGTGTGTTTTTTATATATTAAAAAAAGAAAGAAAACAAAGAAAATCAGCTTTCCCTGAAATAATTTATGGTTGGCACTAAAATGGAACAAGTTTGCAAGCATCTCTCAGGGGAAACCTGGGAAAATTAAATTTAAAGAGAACTAGGTAATTTACTCATGGACAAGTATAAGATATGGAATAACAAATTAAGTAATAAAATATGTATAATTCTTGCGGTAGAAACCATCTGGTAGGTAAACTAGGGTAATAAACATGAGGTCAAACTCCTACTCCAGTGCTCTTTGAACATTGCCTAAGAACTTAGTATAAAATCTCATGATACCAAGGTATATATCTGTCTTCCTCTATTACTTCAGGCTCCCTATTCCTAATTTCTATTGTTACTACTCT